AATCGCAACTTTTCATTTTCCGTCGGTCTTAGTACACGATGTAACTACAGAAGAGTCAAGTTTTAAATAGGAAAAATATAGAAATTCTTTGGTCATTTTTGAGCGAGATGCTAACGGTCTAATCAGATTCAATGATCTATGCTAAGCTACAGCTAAAAGTGCTACCGCCAGACCCGGAGATCGGCTGAATGGATTCGAAAACTGTAAAACTCAACTGTTTAACTCTAGGGGAGTTGGAAAATGAGCCTATTTTCAAAAATAGTGGAGTGTTCCTTTAATTCAATACAATAATTCACATAAATAGATTTTATTTTATTTTAATAGTTAGGTTAAGGTTAGGAACGTACTGTCAAAAGATGGAAATAAGAAAGTGTACAGACAAAAAAAAGTTATAAAAATCAGGCAAATGATATATGAACAAATCCCTCTGTAAAAACCTTCAGAATATAGATAAAATCAGAAAGTTTGGTCTGTGTAAGTGCTACTGAATTGGAGATTTCTTGCTCGGTGGAAAATGCATTTTGAGAAAACGGCCTTTAAAGATATGTATTGTAAAGGAAATCTAATGACGCAAATAGATAAAGTGCAATAAAGTGGTTTGGATGTTTTCTTCACATTACGTAAAGCCAAAATCTCAAACTGTACCAGTGCATGGAAAGCACTTTTTTTTTTTTTACCTGTAGTGTTCATTTAATCCAGAATTGTTTAATGAAGAATTTACACCTAAATTCATTTTACCTTGTAGTAATCTACTGTATTGAATTCCATGCAACATTCATATTATTGGTTTTCCAAAAAATAAAAAATTACAAATACATTTGCTCTGCTTGTGTTTCTTGACATTTCATTGTAAGAGCTCTTAAATAAGAACTCTTAAAGGGATAGTTCACAAAAAATTCAAATAAAATTCTGTCATTTACTCACCCTCAAGTTCTTCCAAACCTGTATAAATTTGACTTGAAGCCATTGACTTTACTATTGAAGTCAATGGCTACCGTCAACTGTTTGGTTACAAGCATTCTTCAAAATATCTTCTTTTGTTTTCAACAGAAGACAAGACATTCATACAGCAACAAGTGAAGGATGAGTAAATGGTGAACTATCTCTTTAACTCTTAAGGCAAAGGCTTTTTTTCAGGAAAAGCATGCTCTTAAACCAACATTTCTTCTGAGATGTTCGAATTACAATGAAGCCAAAGTAGAATGAATGAGAAATCTGATAAAACATTCCTCCCAAAAACCTTGATTATCAAAGCATCCTATGAGAATAAAAACAACATTTGCATTGCGCAAAATTCCCAGCAAAGTCTCCAACCTAATATTCAACACCTGATGATTCAAGTTTCAAATAAACATACCAGAGCAAATATATAAATCAAAGGTAACCACACCCTCCAACATTTCGCCTTATTCCATTTCCTTTATGGAATGTTACTTCTGAGATCGTTAACCTGAGGTGATTCCAAGTATGATTAATATTTACTAACCTCTTGATAGCATTGACCAGACAGACATTCTTTAAACTTAATCTCAGTCTCCCTGCACTTCAGCACACACACTAATTTCTCTCATGGGGAATTAAACTCTAGATGTGCTGTTCGCTACAATTCTAGCCTTACGGGAAGCAGTCCTTGGATTAGATCAGTGCCGTGATGCTCCTCATTTGCCAAACAGAATTGATTTGAAATGCAACAATGCTACTTTTGTTCCAAAATAAATATGCCCACAACAAGTCCGTTGCTGGATCAACATCCAGGGACTACATTCTTAGACAGTCATAAACTATATCATTAACTAACTATTTTATTAAAATAAAGACAAAATAAAATAAAATACAAATATTAGATGACAAACCATTGGCAAATTACTAAAATTACTAAATAGAAATAAATAAAATCTAAACTAAACTTGACCTAAAACTGAAATTAAATTACGTTAAACCTAGATAGTAATATAAAATAAAAATCACAAACGCTCATAACAATAAGATTTAAATGAAAAATTGAAAATGCTAAAATATTAATAAAAAAGATAATAGTATATAAATAATGCTGTCTGTCAGGTTTGTAAGAGGGTAAGGATTATTAAATATGTGCCGCTCCAAATATTGTAATTTCATCCATAAAGAAATTTGCCAGACCAGCCCTTTCAGAGTCAGTAAACACTAACACTGGGAGGCACTTTAAATCCCACTCAAATAGACAAACATTTAGCAATATTAACTGCTTGCATGCAATTGTACAACAACATAACTAGTGCGCTTTCAACACAGCAACAGGTAAACCGTAACAATCAGTATAATGGTGTTCTTAAGAGATAAGGAACTGTCACAGCCCAACATATTTGCTTTTCATCCTATATATGTAATAATTATTATTTTACTGTAGAAAGAAACCAAGGTATAGTTATCAGAATAATAAAATGAGAGTGAGATCCTTACTAAACAACTCGGTTCTTTTTACTTGGGTTGAAAGCATCTCAATATCATATAGTGCAATTTCGTAGTCTATCAAAACATCACAACCACTGATAATATACTGAATAATAATTGGCAGCAAATGACAACACATTTGCTGGTAGCCATTGACTTCCATAATATGGGGGAAATACTATGCAAGCCTATGGCTACCAGCAACTGTCTGGTTACCAACATTTTTCAAAATATCTTCTCTTGTACTCAGCAGAAGACAGAAACTCATGCGGGTTTGGAAACTGGAACAACTTGAGGGTGAGTAAAACATGACAATTTTCATTTTTGGGTGAATTATGAATACCCTTAAGTGTAACACCTGACTATATTCTGTTTTGGACATGTTATCGCACATAATGTAACTATTCATATCAGGAATGACTACATTAATTGATTAAAGTATTTAACATAAGAAGTATGAAGGAGTGGTTTTATACGCTTAGAAAAAAAGCCTTCAGAAACATTTTTGACAGACTCTAAAACAGCCATGTGACATCAACAAGACAATTTGCATGTAATTGCATGAATGTTAATTTCAGCAGGAGTTATGTGCCTCTTTGTGTTTGCCGTTGGATTTCATCCAATGCTGTTCTCACAGAAAAAAAATTTGGAATAACTGGAAATGCATGAAATTTATAGCCCAACATGGTGATAAAGCCCTCTAAGACCCCTCTATTTATTCAATTGATGTCTTTATGCAAAAACTGCACTTCAGACCTGTAACTAACAATCAATTATTCATCCAGTACTGTGAACAAACGCCTCCGTCCCAATCCTCGTGGCATCGTAGAGCAGGTCTGAACACGGTTGTGAGGGTGTGTGAGCTGGGTATTACAGTGTCAAACCAAGATTAACATGGTTTACTATTCACCTCAAAATGCATCAAGACAGATGTGAAATTTGAAATGCAACAATGCTACTTTTGTTCCAAAATAAATATGCCCACAACAAGTCCGTTGCTGGATCAACATCCAGGGACTACATTCTTAGACAGTCATAAACTATATCATTAACTAACTATTTTATTAAAATAAAGACAAAATAAAATAAAAATATTAGATGACAAACCATTGGCAAATTACTAAAATTACTAAATAGAAATAAATAAAATCTAAACTAAACTTGACCTAAAACTGAAATTAAATTACGTTAAACCTAGATAGTAATATAAAATAAAAATCACAAACGCTCATAACAATAAAATTAAAATTAAAAATTGAAAAAGCTAAAATATTAATAAAAACGATAATAGTATATAAATAATGCTGTCTGTCAGGTTTGTAAGAGGGTAAGGATTATTAAATATGTGCCGCTCCAAATATTGTAATTTCATCCATAAAGAAATTTGCCAGACCAGCCCTTTCAGAGTCAGTAAACACTAACACTGGGAGGCACTTTAAATCCCACTCAAATAGACAAAAATTTAGCAATATTAACTGCTTGCATGCAATTGTACAACAACATAACTAGTGCGCTTTCAACACAGCAACAAGTAAACAGTAACAATCAGTATAATGGTGTTCTTAAGAGATAAGGAACTGTCACAGCCCAACATATTTGCTTTTCATCCTATATATGTAATAATAATTATTTTACTGTAGAAAGAAACCAAGGTATAGTTATCAGAATAATAAAATGAGAGTGAGATCCTTACTAAACAACTCGGTTCTTTTTACTTGGGTTGAAAGCATCTCAATATCATATAGTGCAATTTAGTAGTCTATCAAAACATCACAACCACTGATAATATACTGAATAATAATTGGCAGCAAATGACAACACATTTGCTGGTAGCCATTGACTTCCATAATATGGGGGAAATACTATGCAAGCCCATGGCTACCAGCAACTGTCTGGTTACCAACATTTTTCAAAATATCTTCTCTTGTGCTCAGCAGAAGACAGAAACTCATGCGGGTTTGGAAACTGGAACAACTTGAGGGTGAGTAAAACATGACAATTTTCATTTTTGGGTGAATTATGAATACCTTTAAGTGTAACACCTGACTATATTCTGTTTTGGACATGTTATCGCACATAATGTAACTATTCATATCAGGAATGACTACATTAATTGATTAAAGTATTTAACATAAGAAGTATGAAGGAGTGGTTTTATACGCTTAGAAAAAAAGCCTTCAGAAACATTTTTGACAGACCCTAAAACAGCCATGTGACATCAACAAGACAATTTGCATGTAATTGCATGAATGTTAATTTCAGCAGGAGTTATGTGCCTCTTTGTGTTTGCCGTTGGATTTCATCCAATGCTGTTCTCACAGAAAAAAAATCTGGAATAACTGGAAATGCATGAAATTTATAGCCCAACATTTGAATTATTGAAATAAATGAACTTTCCCACGACATTCTAATTTATTAACCTATATATTTAAATTCTAATTTACACCTGTATATGCCTTGAACTTCGCCATTCACACAACTTGTATTTGATTAAGGTGGGAGCAAAAGTTCAACATCACACTGGTTAATATTGAGTATATGACTCAAATGAGCATTTGAAAAACACTTACTTGTCTTTGCCAAGAGTTTCGTAGTCTTTCACAATCACATCAATGTAGGAGGAAGAATCAAGAGGAACACCTTTTAAATCAAACTCAAGCGTCTAAAGGGGAAAATAGCATTCAAAACGTAAACTCTCACAGCCACTGAAGAAATGTGCTATGCAGAAGACGCTCGGTTCATTATAATCTCATTAAATAAACAGCATGTGCATTCGCAATTTACATACACAGCGAAACTTTTCCCGTTCATCTGTGATTAGCGTTCAAGTGTATAAAAACTCAACAGACCTCATTCCACACTGGGTTCAGTTCACTGCTAACGGGCTTGGTTTTCTTCTTTTCGTCTAGAATGATTAGAAACAAAAATAACAGTCGGTGCCGTTATTCTGCGGTCTAATGGCTAAATAGGAAACACATGAGGAGTTCTTACCTTTAAACACCACAGATGCGATGGGGTCTGGACTGCCCAATTTATTTTTGGGTAGACCCGCCGCAGACTCGACTGCCACGCGCAACATGACAGAAAAACCAGGTTTTCATTTAGTGCGCTTCCATAGTGATGTGCGTCTGTTTGTGAAACTGTGTGCTCACTGCAGTGCCCTCCTCATCCATTTGGGAGAGTTTGTGAAGGGTGTGGACTTACTTCAGTGTGACACAATGTGGCAGACTGCCTACCGGTTCAGGTCACTTGTATTTGCGGATGTGATTCTCACAGTATTTGTTATAAATTATACATTTGATTCATCATTTATTATTTTATTTGAGACTATTCCTTTGCATGCTGAGCCAAATGCACCAAAGTTACTGCTCACATTTGAACGTTTAAGAGCTGAGGCACAAGCGACACCTAGCGGTGCATCGCGCGAATCACATAGACTCACAGAGTCGAACAAATAAAGGCATATTGTAAAAGATTTAGCGGTGTCGTCTGTGATGATGGTTTAACAATTGGACATCATTCTTCAGAGAGTGTGAGTTGAGAATCTGCACTCTTTGGGAGGTGTGTGCGGCCTGTTGAAACATGGTATCCCCTGTCTTTGAATCTGATTGACCGAGCAGAGTCGGAAAGGCCGGAACACTTCACACTGTTTGCAGTGGTGTACAAAGCACCTGAAAGCCATACTCAAGTAAAAGTACAGATATCTTACCAGAAAATTACTTTGGTAGAAGTTGAAGTCACCGTTTAGAATATCACCGTTTAGAGTAAAAGTCTTAAAGTCAAGTCAAGTTTATTTGTACAGCGCTTTTCACGATACAAATCGTTGCAAAGCAACTTCACAGCAAATTCAGTTTCTACAATATTTAGTGGTAGCTTTTCAGTGGTGACTGTCAGTTAATGTACATATGGCAGAAATGTACGGAAAAATCCATTTAAGACGTAATAAAACAGACAATGAACACTATTAACAGCAATTATTATATGATGCAATCAAACTTATAGCAAAATGTGGTAGTTCTGTATGTTGTTGCAGGGTTGGCATCATCTGAGGCCCTCTGAGGGGTTGCATCATCTCTTCTCAGGTGTTCTGGATCCAGACAGAAGCTTGTGTAAATCCTAGTTACATCCGTGGCAAAAAACAGAGAAACAAATAGAGACATAATTAGCGTAGCTGCTGTTCCAACCAAGCAAAAATGATTTGTTTAACCCAAACTAACGAATAATAATGTGCATTTGATTAGATATAACTGCAGTAAAAGATTATGACTGCAGTAAAAGATTATGAGATGCATTATTTGAATGCTTGGCCAAAGAGATGTGTCTTTAATCTAGATTTAAACAGAGAGAGAGTGTCTGAACCCCGAACGGTATCAGGAAGGCTATTCCAGAGTTTGGGAGCCAAATGCGAAAAAGCTCTACCTCCTTTAGTGGACTTTGATATCCTAGGTACTACCAAAAGTCCAGAATTGTGCGACCTTAGGGAGCGTGATGGATTGTAGCGTGGTAGAAGACTAGTTAGGTACGCAGGAGCTAACCCATTAAGGGCCTTATAGGCAAGTAATAATATTTTGTAACTGATACGGAACTTAACAGGTAGCCAGTGCAGAGACTGTAAAATTGGGGTAATATGATCATATTTTCTTGACCTGGTAAGGACTCTAGCCGCTGCATTTTGGACTACCTGTAGCTTGTTTATTGAAGATGCAGGACAACCACCTAGAAGTGCATTACAATAGTCCAGTCTAGAGGTCATGAATGCATGAACTAGCTTTTCTGCATCAGAAACAGGTATCATGTTTCGTAACTTGGCAATGTTTCTAAGATGGAAGAATGCCGTTTTTGTAACATGGGAAATATGATTTTCAAAAGACAAGTTGCTATCTAATATAACACCCAGATTTTTGACTGTAGAGGAAGTAACCGTACATCCATCTAGTTGCAAATTGTAATCCACGAGATTCGGCGTACTGTCTTTTGGTCCAATAAGTAATATCTCTGTCTTATCCGAATTTAATAGGAGAAAATTATTGGTCATCCATTCTTTTACATTTTTAACACACTCCGTTAGCTTAGATAATTTAGAAGTTTCATCTGGTCTTGTTGAGATATATAGTTGAGTATCATCGGCATAACAGTGGAAACTAATCCCGTATTTCCTAATAATATTACCAAGTGGCAACATGTATATCGAAAATAGCAGAGGACCTAGGACAGATCCTTGTGGCACTCCATATTTTACTGGTGATAATTGAGATGACTCCCCATTTAAATGAACAATGTGGTAGCGATCGGACAGGTAGGATCTAAACCATCTTAAAGCCTGCCCTTGAATACCTGTATAGTTTTGTAATCGATCTATCAGTATGTCATGATCTATAGTATCGAATGCAGCACTAAGATCAAGTAAAACTAGCAATGAGACACAGCCTTGGTCTGACGCAAGAAGCAAGTCATTTGTAATTTTAACAAGTGCAGTTTCTGTGCTATGGTGGGGCCTGAAACCTGACTGAAATTCTTCATAGAGATAATTTTTTTGCAGGAAGGAGCACAATTGAGCAGACACAACTTTTTCTAAAATTTTAGACATAAAAGGAAGATTTGAGATGGGTCTGTAATTAGCCAGTTCACTAGGATCTAGTTGTGGTTTCTTAATAAGAGGCTTAATAACCGCCAGCTTGAATGGTTTTGGGACGTGACCTAAAGACAACGACGAGTTAATAATATTGAGAAGCGGTTCTTCTGCTACAGGTAACAACTCTTTCAATAATTTAGTGGGTACAGGATCTAACAGGCATGTTGTTGGTTTAGATGCAGTAATAAGTTTAATTAGCTCTTCCTGTCCTATAGCTGTAAAGCACTGCAGTTTATCTTTTGGTGCGATGAATGAAGCTAAAGTATTATACGCTGTAGAATCTACATTTGTTATTGTATTTCTGATGTTATCTATTTTATCAGTGAAGAAATTCATAAAGTCATTACTATTAAACTGTGCGGGAATATTTAGATCGGGTGGCGTCTGGTTATTTGTTAATCTAGCCACTGTGCTAAATAAAAACCTAGGATTGTTTTGGTTATTTTCTATGAGTTTGTGGATATGCTCGGCCCTGGCAGCTTTTAGAGCCTGTCTATAGCTGGACATACTGTTTTTCCACGCAATTCTAAAAACTTCCAAGTTAGTTTTTCTCCATTTGCGCTCAAGACTACGAGTTTTTTTCTGGTGTTCTGGATCCAGACAGAAGCTTGTGTAAATCCTAGTTACATCCGTGGCAAAAAACAGAGAAACAAATAGAGACATAATTAGCGTAGCTGCTGTTCCAACCAAGCAAAATTGATTTGTTTAACCCAAGCTAAAAAATAATAATGTGCATTTGATCAGATATAACTGCAGTACAAGATTATGAGATGCATTATTTGAATGCTTGGCCAAAGAGATGTGTCTTTAATCTAGATTTAAACAGAGAGAGTGTGTCTGAACCCCGAACGTTATCAGGAAGGCTATTCCAGAGTTTGGGAGCCAAATGCGAAAAAGCTCTACCTCCTTTAGTGGACTTTGCTATCCTAGGTACTACCAAAAGTCCAGAATTTTGCGACCTTAGGGAGCGTGATGGATTGTAGCGTGGTAGAAGACTAGTTAGGTACGCAGGAGCTAACCCATTAAGGGCCTTATAGGCAAAGTATGTGATATTTATCGTACTTAAGCACGAAAAGTTTTTTTTTTTTATCTTAAACGTACTCAAGTATTGAAAGTAAAAGTACAAGTAAATGCAAAATGGAAAAGAAGCAAATAAATATATATATATTTAAAAAATGTTCATACACAGCTTGAGTCGCAAGATTGTGTTCAGTTTTAACTCTTTCTTCCATTTTGTATCTTCATCCGGTACTTAGTGTCTTTCATTCCAACATAAGAAAACATTTCTGGAATCTGCATCTGAAATCGCATTTAGATGTATTTACACAGTTTAATGTATCTCAGAGGGGACATGGATGCATTTAACTTGCAGTTACAGATGGATAAATAATGTTTTGTTTTTAACATAAAACGTTGAATGCTGATATTTGAAATGATTTAAAAACATGAAAAAAATAGTCGAAATGTGAAATTAAAACAGTCAGTAGGTGACAGCAAGTGACTGTTAACGAGTAAGTCATTGAAATTCAACCGATTCATTGATTCATTCGGGAACAAAGCATTTGACTGTGTTAATGAGTGAATCACTGAATCATTTATTCAACCGATTCGTTCAAAACACTGATTCATTCAATAAGTAAACACCATTGCTCAGAGACGCAAAACAGTGCTGAGATCTTTGTTTGGAACTATTTTCTTAGTGGTAAGATAAAACGTTTTGTGAATACGGGCCCTGATTTTATTTCTTCAGGTCACATCATATGGCCAGTAGGTGGCGTCTTTTGTGTAAGTGAATAATTCACTTAACTAATTTGTTCAACAGAAATGTTATAGGCTGTTGGCAATCGGATTGGATCAAATCCTGAAAATGGGCTTTTCAAAAGAAAAAAAAAAAGATTCTGAAATCAGATTCTATTTTGTAATCCAGTTTTGATCTGGATCGATCTTTCAGTATGTGTTGTTAAAAAACTGAACTGAACAGGATATCTGATCCAAAAAAAAAAACATCAGGATTATCCTGATCACAGGAGAAGTGTGGATTTTAGGAACAAAAAGTAATACAACTTTAAAATGTGTACAATAATGCAACATTTGTATTATTACGTGTATATATAAAGAGGTGGCCAAAATGATTAGAACACTAGTATTTTCACCAGCTAAAAAATGGTTTTAAGTCAGTTATTTCTATTTTTGCTGTAGTGTGTCAGTAGGAAATAATCAGTTTACATTGTGCAAACAAAAGTCTCACTGGATTATTATAATTAATAGCAAAATTAATGTTTAGAAAGGTAAACTGATATTTCCTACTGACACACTACAGCAAAACATAGAAATAACTGGCTTAAAACCATTTTTAGCTGGTGAAAATACTAGTGTTCCACTTTTTTTGGAGATCTTTGGATAAAGCATGTAAATACCATGAGCACATTAGCACTCCGTCTTCTCTTGTCATTGAAAATAAGTTTGTGAAAGTAATACAGTTGTTTAGAATAAGAGGCAGGGAAAGAAGAATAAAGAACAGTGAACAAAGCTACATTTTTACTTTATTATATTGGGTTTTCAGTTGGGTTGAATTCATTAAATTTGTACAAGACCATTAAATACATTTACAACAGAGAGGAGAAAATGATCAAACAAGACTTAAGTGCTTTATGTAACAGCACCATGTAATATTACTACATGTTTTTGTAAAAAAAAAAAAAAAGAAGACAAATCAACACACTGAATACTTTAAAAACAACTGATTTTTATAATGTATGATGCTATGCAGCAGTTTTCTGGCTTCTCTCAATAGCCATTCTCTCCAATCTCTCTGTGTAGAAGCCATTGAAGTCCAGCCTATAAAAAGAAATCTCATTATTCATAGCACCTCTGTTGAGCAGACTGAATTTTAATGAGGGTTGTATAAGCTTTTCAAATGTTTTCTTTTTCAAGAAAGCTTTTCAAAGAGATTTCTATTGTTAAAGCTCAGGCCAGGTTAAATCAGTAAGCACTGATACATGCACTGAGGGACAGTTTAATGTAAGGTTCTTGTCACAACTCGCCTGTAGATGATGTTGATCATGCTGCGTTCACAGTCATTGGTGCTGTAAATGCTGAGCTTATCCAAAAGATCCAGCAATAATGTGCTGAAGTTACTGTCAAACTTGCTGATGGTCGCCTCAAACCCAGAGTCAGACTGCAGGGCATACACATGCTCAGCTAGGAACTGGGAGAGATGAGAAAAGAGATGAGATCAAATATGATTATTATTTATTTTAATTGTTTGATTATAAGGATATCATTATTTGTGTTTTTTTTTATTATGGTGACAGTGATTACACAGCTTGTTTTTAAAGTGCCTCTTTAGATTTGGTATTGTAGAATAATTGATTCAATGCCAATGACTCATTTTAGAGGCCAGTCTTTTTTTTCTCTGACTCTTCTGTCCGCTCAGCCGAGGCTGAAGAGCCCTCCATAGTGCCGTGTTCGAGAGTCAGGCGCTTCATCTCACTGTCTATCCTCATGCTATGAGTGAACCGCTGCAAAACAATCAAAATAAACACTCCAGTATCAGCATGACAGAGCAGGAAAGCTTCATTATGAAATAATAGCAAATTTGTGCATTTCACAACACGCACAATCCCGTTAAAATGATCCCCAGAGACAACAATAAACTATATACACTACCAGTCAAAAGTTTTTGAACAGTAAGATTTTAATGTTTTTAAAGAAGTCTCTTCAGCTCACCAAGCCTGCATTTATTTGATCCAAAATACAGCAAAAGCAGTAATATTGTGAAATATTTTTACGATTTCAAATAACCGCTTTCTGTTTTTGAATATATTTTCAAATGTTATTTATTCCTGTGATCAAAGCTAAATTTTCAGCATCATTACTCCAGTCTTCAGTGTCACATGATCCTTCAGAAATCAATCTAATATGCTCATTTGCATTTCACGAAACATTCATTATTATTATTATCAATATTTGAGAAACAGTTGAGTACATTTTTTCAGGATTCTTTGAAAAATCCAAAGATCTGCATTTATCTGAAATAAAAAGCTTTTGTGACATTATACACTAGTGCAGGGGTGGCGAACGTCAGTCCTGGAGAGCCGCAGCCCTGCAGAGTTTTGCTTCAACCCTAATCAAACACACCTGAACAAGCTAATTAAGGTCTGAAGGGTTATTAGGAAGCTACAGGCAGGTGAGTTTTAATTAGGGTTGGAGCTGAACTCTGCAGGGCTGAGGCTCACCAGGACTGGAGTTCGCCACCGCTGCACTAGTATACCATTCAAAAGCTTGGAGTCAAATTAACAAATTAGAATGATTTCTGAAGGACCATGTGACACTGAAGACTGGAGTAATGAATACTGAAAATGTAGCTTTACCATCACAGGAATAAATTACATTTTAAAATGCATTCAAATAGAACATGGTTTACAGCAGGGTTCCTCAAATCTTACCCTGGAGGTCCAATGCGCTGCAGAGTTTAGCTCCAACCCTGATCAAACTCACCTACCTGTGATTTTCTAATGATCCTGAAGACACTGATTAGCATGCTCAGGTGTGTTTGATTAGGGTTGAAGCAAAACTCTGCAGGGCTGAGGCTCACCAGGACTGGAGTTCGCCACCGCTGCACTAGTATACCATTCAAAAGCTTGGAGTCAAATTAACAAATTAGAATGATTTCTGAAGGACCATGTGACACTGAAGACTGGAGTAATGAATACTGAAAATGTAGCTTTACCATCACAGGAATAAATTACATTTTAAAATACATTCAAATAGAACATGGTTTACAGCAGGGTTCCTCAAATCTTACCCTGGAGGTCCAATGCGCTGCAGAGTTTAGCTCCAACCCTGATCAAACTCACCTACCTGTGATTTTCTAATGATCCTGAAGACACTGATTAGCATGCTCAGGTGTGTTTGATTAGGGTTAGAGCTAAACTCTGCAGGAAAGTGGATCTCGTGGGCCAGATTTGAGGATCCCTGGTTTACAGTATTACTGTTTTACTGTATTTTTGAGCAAATAAATGCATCCTATGTGAGCATAAGAGACCTCAAAACATAAAAAAAAAATCGTACCAACCCTATAAAAAGCAGGGTTTTCTCAATAATGTCTGTATTTTTACCTTCATGCAGTTGGTGAACATAACACAGACAGACATGAGCTTGGAGAAGATGCGGAGCAGCTCAGGGTTGGTGAGCATACAGTCCTTCAGACAGTTATCCAGGAAGCTGGTGTGATAACACAGCACATCATCAATGTTGGAAGCCTAAAAAAAGACAATCAAATTAAGAAAGCGCTGTGAATTAATTTAAACTCCATTTGTGCTTAGCCAGACCTATCACGATTATTACATAACAGCCTGATTACCATTATTTGAGAGAACCATGATCACTGTGCTCTTTAAATTCAAACCAATAATGGATACTGGCATACAAATAAGTTATTTTAATAGAATTATGTAAGCACTCCATATATTACATTTTATATTTGTTTAGCTTTAAAGGAAATAACATTTTAATAATGTTTAATGTAATGTAAAACAAACATGAATTAATGACAGTAGGTGTTTGTGTAATACATTTATACAGTACCAATAAACTGCAGTTATTTATTTATTTATAATTAATTGGCAACCAAAGTTTCAGAATCCTGACAGTCATATACAGAAGCAATTCATTAATTAAAGTTGAATTAGGTAAATTCACTTATTGACTGGTAAAATCACTGGATACATGTATATGGAAATGTTACACTTCTAACAGGTTGTTAACCCAAAAAGAAACTAGATAAATCTGACTTAAAGCCGATTAAATGTATTATATAAAATAAACTGCATGTTTTGAAGTCATGAGCCTTAATTATTAAGAATAAAGCAGATGTTTTATTTCATTGACTTACAGATTTCAGGTTGTTCTCCATGATGTGCCATGTGGGCTCCATAACCTCAAACATCATGTAGTACTGAATGTTCTGCTCAAAGTTGAGCATCCGTTGTCTTAATGCAAAGGCAGCAGCAAACCTACAATTTACAAGAGCTACTGAAAAGATGTTCACTTGAAGATACACAATCCGAGGTCAAAATACATATTTAGTCTCACCATTTAGCAGAGTGCAGTGAATATTGCTTAGCTGCTTTATTGCTGATCCACACATTACAGAGCAGCCTCTCCACATGCTTGCAGTAGAACATGTGCCTGAAGAGCATCTGGTATCGTGTCAGGGCTTTTCTGTACATCAGAACATTGTGTTAAAGGAGTAGTTCATTTCTGATTGCATAGCGTTTAACGACATTTGAATGACATTAACGCAGTGTGTAACATTTCCAAAAATGTAGTGTGTAATGTGCGACATTTCCAATAACGTAGTGTGTAACGTGCAACATTTCCGATTACACGGTGTGTAACGCACAACATTTCCAATGACGCAGCGTGTAATGTGCGACATTTCCAATAACGTAATGTGTAACATGCGATATTACCAAAAACAAAGTGTGTAACATGCAACATTTTCAATAATGCAGTGTGTAACGTGCAACATTTCCAATGACGCAGTGTGTAATGTACGACATTTCCAATAACGTAATGTGTAACATGCGACATTTACAATAACAAAGTGTGTAACATGCAACATTTTCAAGAATGCAGTGTGTAACATGCAACATTTCCAATGGCATAGTGTGTAACGTGCAACAATTCCAATAGATTAGTGTGTAACGTGCAACATTTCCGATTACACGGTGTGTAATGCACAACATTTCCAATGACGCAGCGTGTAATGTGCGACATTTCCAATAACGTAATGTGTAACATGCGATATTACCAAAAACAAAGTGTGTAACATGCAACATTTTCAATAATGCAGTGTGTAACATGCAACATTTCCAATGACGCAGTGTGTAATGTACGACATTTCCAATAACGTAATGTGTAACATGCGACACTTCCAATAACAAAGTGTGTAACATGCAACATTTTCAAGAATGCAGTGTGTAACATGCAACATTTCCAATGGCATAGTGTGTAACGTGCAACAATTCCAATAGATTAGTGTGTAACATGCAACATTTCCAATAACAAAGTCTATAACGTCCGGCATTTCCAATAATTCCATGTAATGTGGGATATTTCCTATAATAAAATCTGTAACGTAAAACATTTCCAATAGCTTAGTGTGTAACATGCGTAATTTCCAATAGCGTAATGTGTAAAGTGCGACATTTCCAATAAAGTCTGTAACATGCAACATTTCCTGTAGAGCTGTGTGTAACGTGTGACATTTCCAATAGTGTAGAGTGTAAAGTGCGACATTGCCAATAACAAAGTCTGTAACGTGTGACATTTCCAGTAGAGCTGTGTGTAACGTGCGACGATTCCAATAGATTAGTGTGTAACATGCAACATTTCCAATAACAAAGTCTATAACGTGCGGCATTTCCAATAACGTAGTGTGTAATGTGGGACATTTCCAATAATAAAGTCTGTAACGTAAAACATTTCCAATAGCTTAGTGTGTAACATGCGTTATTTCCAAAAGCGTAATGTGTAAAGTGTGACATTTCCAATAACAAAGTCTGTAACGTGCAACATTTCCAGTAGAGCTGTGAGTAACGTGTGACATTTCCAATAGTGTAGAGTGTAAAGTGCGACATTGCCAATAACAAAGTCTGTAACGTGTGACATTTCCAGTAGAGCTGTGTGTAACGTGACATTTCCAATTACAAAGTGTGTAACATGCAACATTTCCTATAGCATAGCGTGTAACGAGCAACATTTCCAATAACGTAGTGCGTAAAGTGAGACATTTCCAATAATGTAATGTGTGACAATTCCAATAACGTTGTGTGTAATGTGACATTTCCAATAACGTAATGTGCAACAATTACAATAACGTAGTGTGTAATGTGTGACATTTCCAATAACGCAGTGAGTAATGTGCGACATTTTCTAATAATGCAATGTGCGACAATTCCAATAGCGTAGTGTGTAATGTGACATTTCCAATAACGTAATGTGCGACAATTCCAATAGCGTAGTGTGTAATGTGTGACATTTCCAATAACGCAGTGGGTAATGTGCGACATTTCCAATAATGTAATGTGCGACAATTCCAATAGCGTAGTGTGTAATGTGACATTTCCAATAACGTAATGTGCAACAATTCCAATAGTGTAATGTGTAATGTGTGACATTTCCAATAACGCAGTGGGTAATGTGCGACATTTCCAATAATGTAATGTGCGACAATTCCAATAGCGTAGTGTGTAATGTGACATTTCCAATAACGCAGTGGGTAATGTGCGACATTTCCAATAACGTAATGTGCGACAATTCCAATAGCGTAGTGTGTAATGTGTGACATTTCCAATAACGCAGTGCGTAATGTGCGACATTTCCAATAATGTAATGTGTGACAATTCCAATAGCGTAGTGTGTAATGTGACATTTCCAATAACGTAATGTGCAACAATTCCAATAGTGTAATGTGTAATGTGTGACATTTCCAATAACGCAGTGGGTAATGTGCGACATTTCCAATAATGTAATGTGCGACAATTCCAATAGCGTAGTGTGTAATGTGACATTTCCAATAACGCAGTGGGTAATGTGCGACATTTCCAATAACGTAATGTGCGACAATTCCAATAGCGTAGTGTGTAATGTGTGACATTTCCAATAACGCAGTGCGTAATGTGCGTCATTTTCAATAGCGTAGTATATAATGTGCAACCTTTCCGATCACACAGTGTGTAATGAGCAACATTTCCAAATGCATGGATTCCTATTTAAAGGGGTCATATGATGCGATTTCAAGTTTTCCTTTCTCTTTGGAGTGTTACAAGCTGATTGTGCATAGATAAGATCCCCGAAGTTGCAAAGACTAAAGTCTCAAAACCAAAGAGATATTCTTTATCAAAGTTAAGACTCTGCCACGCCCCCTAAAACGGCTCATTCTAACACGCCCCCACATATCTACCTCACTATGTGGAAATATTAGCATAATGCGCCCAAAATCTCCTGCTGAAAATTCATCAAACAACACTTAATATAACTGCACCTTAAGTGCATGGAATACAGGGTTGGAACAACACGAATGAAGGTCAGATAAATGATGACAAAACAATTTCTTTAAGAAGCACGGGGCCATAGTTACAATCCCAAGCTGCTTGAAATAAAAGCTATACTGTCGTACAGAAAATATGTGTACCGGTTGATTATGAGAGAAAGTGGCCACTTGACGATGTTGTCGAAAGAGAAAGCCTCCAGGCCGCTAAGGGACACCTCTGTGGGCTCTGCATTAATGATGGCTTTCTCTTGCTTGGTGTCTATAGCGAGGACACGCAACAGCTGGGTGATAACGTCATGGGGCATCAGGTCAATCTAGAAGAGGATAATACTGTTAAATAATGCAGTTTCAGTGTTGACCTGTTGCCTGTTTTTGAGCTGCACATAATTTTCCATTGCTTAAGAAGGCTCTCAACCACCTTCCAAATGATACAATCATTTAGATGGGTGACAGTAGCCATATTCACACACAAAACGTTAAACTGCTGGATGACATTTCCATTTTCATTTGCCAGTTTAAAAAAAACAAACTGCTGTGCTTCATGAAACATCCTACTTATATATTTATTTACAGTAATTAAATAGCAGCCTTTGTGATTTGAGCTTTATTTCACTTAATTGTGCAGCCCTAGCTTCTTATGTCATGTCCCTTTATAACACTTCCAGAGTGGACAGACAAATTGCTTTTAGCTAGAATCTTGTCACATTACCTCTGATTAGGGCACGCTGTAAGTGCAGGATAAATGGTGTATCGGCCAGCACAACAAAAACAAAAGATACTGAGTAAAATTACCAAAATGTAAAAGATGAAACTGAACAACAATTTGTTTTTCATTTGGATTTCTACTGCAAAATAAATTGCTCAACATCTGAAATCTAGACTGTAATGCAGAATACACAAACATACTCTACATATTACAAAGTGCGACTGTTGAAGTAATTGGTGAGAAGACAGATGCGCATTTGACCTTCAAATCATCTTTGAAGGGGTCTGTGTTGGCAGTGCTCAGTCTTAGGGCCAGCTCCAGCAGGGCCTCCAGCCGTGGAGGAATGATGTTATCAACCGGCTTCTTCAGTTCTTCCTCCGTCAGGTCCATAAAATGCACGAAAAAGTCTCCTTTATCCATTAAGAAGTCATGTTTGATTGACCTGTTCCACAAAATGTAAGAAATTAGGTAATATTGAGATATTCAGTTCACAATGGCTGAAAATACCAAATAATCTTTAAGATTATACTTTTTGCTTTGGAAACAGATGACACTGTGATGCAGCTACACCAGAAGATGTGTGGTTTATGCATGTTGATCAATGTTTATGCGAATAATTGCCTAAATTAAAAAAATAGTTCACCCAAAAATGACAATTTGCTAAAAAATTACTCAACCTAAGATGTAGATGAGTGTTTCTTCATCCGAACAGATTTGGAGAAATTTACATTTACATTTATTTATTTGGCAGATGCTTTTATCCAAAGCCACATACAATTTAACATTTCATCCTCAGCAGTGAATGAATGCTGTCAGAATAAGAGTCCAAACTCTTATAAAACATCACAGTAATCCACAATTAATTAATGTCTTGTGAAGTGAAAATCTGCATGTTTGTAATAAATCCCTTATTAAGGCATTTTAACTTTAATTACTTGCTTCTGGCCAAAACACAAGTTCATAATCCATACACTTCCCTTTATTTAGACATATTTATTAACGGTTTTAGATCATTTTCAACAGTGCTCGATCTGTGCGCGTTTCAGATGAGATGACTGGAGAAACCAATATTATGAATAGAAACCTTTTAGCCAGTAACAAGTTTGAAGTTCGAAACATGTTAGAATCTCAACTTAACATATCTTAACTATACTGGGTGAACCTTTAAATCTGTTCATCATATAAGGCAATCGTGTCTCTTCAGAAGATTTGGATTAACTCATTCCATTCATATGGACTATGTTTACCATGTCTTTATGATTCTTTTAAATTGTCAAAGTTTGGTTACATGGACTTTATATGCTTTGAACATAAATGAAAGTCTTGTATTTGGAATGACATGAGGGTGAGAAAAATGTCAGAAGTTAAAATAAATAAACACCCATGGTCTGCTGCAGTACTAACAAAAAATCATGATCCTAACCTTTATCTCCAGATGGAAATCTCAGTTGGCCAGACAGTGATTCATCTTTTCTGAATCATTAAATGATTGGTGTCTGAAACATTGTGAGTTTTCAAATGCTTAGTTTAAATATGTGCTACAAATGAAGAGTGCTCATAAGCGGCTGTTGAGAAAAAGTATTCCGTACATCAAACCAAACAAGCGGACTGACACACCATTGGCTCAGATTACTTACTCACATACCTGACAGCAGATTATGATGTCAGATTTTCAGTGAGTCCAGAATGGTTACCATGTTATGTGTACTTATTGAAAGCAAATAAATTTGTATTATGTGGTACACACTACGCCACAGGTGTCAAACTCAGTTCCTGGAAAGGCCACAGCCCTGCAGAGTTTAGCTTCAACCCTAATTAAACACAGCTAATTAGGGATGTACCGAAATGAAAATTCTTGTCCGAAGCCGAACAAAATGAATTACTGAATACCGAACACGGTTTTTCGCATTTTGCCCCCCATGTAGACCTATTGTGCCTTTTTTTTCACTATTGCATAAATTAAATAGCCAGAATTTTTTTTTAAATGTAAAGTCGGCCACACCGACATTACATTTACAAAGCTTTTCCACTTATTTTTTAGTCGAGCATCCAGTTGAGATCGATGTGTGTGCTTTTGTCTGCTCTTTATAAATTAAATAGCCAAAAATTTGCTTTTTACTGTTTAGCTATGAGCTTCCTCCAAACTCTAGGACCTTGGTTTCCAAATGAAATATAAAACTTGCTCTCATCTGAAAGAGGACTTTGGAACACTGGGCAACAGTCCAGTTCTTCTCCTTAGCCCAGATAAGACACCTCTGACGTTGTCTGTGGATCAGAAGTGGCTTAACAAGAGGAATACGACAACTGTAGCCAAATTCCTTGACACATCTGTGTTAGCTTAATAATGTCCTCTAATGTTTCTGAAAATACTCAATATGTTATGTATATAATATGTTTCAGGGTAATTCATACTGAAAAGCAAAATATATTATTAACAGACTTTAAAAAAAAACAAATTTAAAAAGCATTCACAAGAGGGTACCGAATGGCGGACAGCCCTGTAGGTCCAGGGTCACATTCTCCTGTATGGGTCTTTAATGATGCCCCTATAGATCCACTTCTCAAGTATTTCAAAGTAGGTGACGCTACTTTGGTCAGATAGAGGCAGAGCTCTTGAGCCTGGCTGTCTCTGGTGTAATTGAAGGTACAATCATGAAGCAGGCTGAGGGTCGAGCCACCCATACACTCACCCTTGTCAACAGTGTCTACATGAAAGAGGCGAAGGAGAAAGCGCATTAGCATGAGCATATCAACAGTGTCGGCACTATGTGCGGACGACGTGAACCCCCTGAAACATGATTTCTACCAAGGCCCCATTTAGAAATACAAATGTTTGCTACAAACAGTAAAACATGCTAGAAACATGCCACCACATGCCAGCATTGCATTAACAACATGCTAGAAACATGCTAACACCATGATAAATCATACTAGCAACAACATGCTCAGAAATGTTAGAAACATACTAGAAACGTTAAAATGTTAATGTACTAAAGCATGCTAACATCATTAAAACATTATTAACTTGTTAGAAACATCGTAAAACATGCTGCCACCATACTAAAACATGACAGAAACATGTTAACAATTTTGTAACATTCCAAAACATTTTAGTTTTAGAAACAGGTTAGTAACATGCTAATTCATCCTAACGTTGTGAAAAAACATGTTAATAATACATTATATGCTATAATCACATTAAAACATGCTGGAGACATTAGCAACATGCTAAGAATGTGACAAAAACATGGTAAAACATGCTAGCAATATTCTATCAAAATCTTAAATCCTGCCATCAATGCCTAGCTAGCTATCTAGATGCTTTTAATATTACATCTGTGTAACCATCGGTGAAACTTTAAAATCTTAATTAAACTTTCAGATAGGGCTTTGTAAACCAATTTGCAACTAATAAAGGTAAAGAATTAAGAATCAGCTATCAATGAACATGAAAAATATACTTTGACTCAAAGTGTATTTTTACATGCAAAAACTGTAAAAAATTAACTCATTACGCCTGTTGACACTTCCAAAATACTAAGTGCTATTACAGTAACTAGAGATGCACCGATTGCAATTTTCTTGGCCGATTCAGATTTTTTTGTTAGTGTGATCTGCCGATTCCGATTTTCTTTCTAAGAACTATAATTGACAGCATATACAAACAAAAATCTACTTTTCTTCAACACAAAGTTTAATTTTCATTAAAAAAACACAAGTAAAAAGTCAGTAATAAAATAAGAACAAATGAAATAACTGCAAACAACAGCACGAATAAATGCAATAGGATAAAGAGAGCTATGAAACTGAAGTTTCTGAAGTATGAAGTTTTTCAGGTTAAGTAAGTTTTTATTCAGGTAAGAAATACTACAGAAATTAAAGTAATCAAATGTAAAATAACACATCCAATGTTATTTTACATTTGAGTATATTAATTTATGTAGTCTTCATGGTAAAAATTAAATTCAGATTAATGCTTACCATTAAAGTTATAAAACGTATTCAGTCAAGAGCAGAAAGTGATTTTCTTTGTCTTTTGTTCTTTGATTAACATGACAGACAGCAGCAGGAATATTGGACTCCGGTCCCTTTAAGAGATTATCCACGGACCCAATATAACGAATGAGACCTGTGTGCAGTGTTGCCAACTTAGCAATTTTGTTGCTAAATTTAGCAACTTTTCACACTGCCCTAGCAACTTTTTCTTCCAAAAGCACCAAGCAACAAATGTAGCTATTTTTTATTTTTTATTTGGCAGTTTTTAGCAACTTTTGATAAGTGACTCAAAAGATAAAAAGGCACACATTTTCCATCTAAATTACACAAAATGAGGAAACCAAAGATGCCTAGCAGTACACATATCACATGAATTAAGTTAGCTTCTATTAGCAATTGCTCAATTTAATAATAATACATTTAATAATTGAAGAGTTCAGATGCAAAAGCCTCTAAGAGCCGTCTGAAATTTTCTTCTAAAATTATCATTTTTATCAGGCTCATATATTTATGTTCAGTTCTTTCACTTTAATAGCATAGAAAAGAACCTATACATTGCCATTAAAGTAAAATGACTGAACCTAAATATAGGAGCCTGATAAAAATGATAATTTTAGAAGAAAATTTCAGACGGCACTTAGAGGCTTTTGCATCTGAACTCTTCAATTGTTAATTTGTGATACACCTTATTAGTAGCTTGTGCCTGCGATTGTTGATCAGTTAGTACACTGTAAGAAAAATATCTAGAAAAATGGAAAAGGTACTACTAATTTTCCAGGACATTATCTGTTATCCATTATTTATTATCCATACAATGTGTAATTTAAAATGCATGTAAAAAAAACTGTGAAAAATCAATACGGAAAATTATTATATTAATATTAATATAGTATTATAGTATTATATTAATATAGTAGACTGTGTCCTATTTTTACAGATATTTTCTTAGAATATAGCAAAATAACTAACTGCTAATACACTGCTTAAAACTATAATTGTTCAGAATGTGTAGTTTACAAAATACAGTTATTTATATTTTAATATTATATTGTGTTATATTATTTTACAAACACATCTAAATTAACATATATAAAATATTTTCTTGCTGAGATTTGAGGTAGTGACAATTTTGTGTCATAATTACGTAATGAACATCATTTAGCAATTTTTAGCAACAAATTGACCTTCCTTTAGCAACTTCCCCTGAAAATTAGTTGGCAACACTGCCTGTGTGAGAGAGAAGGGGTCGTCGGAGAGATGAGAGCGAGAATGTGCGGCTGACGTTATTGCCTGTGCCGCTGGTAACAAAACGGTCACCGATCTGGGCCGATCATGAGGAAAATCGGCCGATTCCGATCCCTGGCCGATCGATCGGTGCATCTCTAACAGTAACCACATGTGTTGAGAGCTCTACCGATGGAGGCCAGGATTTCCATGGTGCGCATGGTGGGCTGTATGTAGAACCAGAGCTTCTGCAGAGAAAGCGTGCCCTGTCTGTGGAGATGCTCCAGCTGTGTCACCAGGATGAGATATTCCTTCATCAGAGTCCTTATGGCTGCAGTTGTAAGGATGGTTTCCCTACGGTGGTTCAGGCTGTAGGATTGCCGAATGACTAAAGAAACGTTATCAGCACGATGGTATAAAACTGTACATTTCTAGTCTATTACCACCCACTGCCACTTATACCAACGACGGAAATAAGCGCAGTTAGAATAGCTAAATAAGTGGGAGAGTGTTGCTATTGAGTGACTTTTGTATTGCAATAGGTAGCACTTTAATATTAACCTTGAATCAAGACTAGTTAGCACATAATTAATAATTGAAATGGTTTAATAACAATATTTTGTTATGGTTACACTTGAATTGGTTACAAAATAGATGAAGGATGGTAAAGCATAGTTAATTGTACCCAACATGTAAAATATTACCTGAGAGAAAGAGATAGAGAGAGGGGGGAATAGAGAGAGGAAGAAAAAGAGGGAGAGAGGGCAGAGACCCAAGAAGAGCTCCAACAAAGAAAAGAGGCAACAAAGAAGAGAGACAGAGCAACAGTTACAGTCCTCTTTGATCCCTTCCTTGACCATGTGACTAAAAACCAAATGTGAGACATTCAAACTGACCAATCAGCAGATTACAACTTCACCCACTGGGCAAAAGGTGTGACAATTAGCAGACCCCCGATGTATACACATGTTGGCCTACAGGCCTTGATTGATATCAGCACTTCTGTGCCTTCAGGAATGCCAAATGGCCCTTTTGTTACTGAAGATAGGTTTGGGACAGGAAAGCAGAAGTCTTTGATACATTTTGACTTTACACAGTCAAGGCATGATTCACCTGACCGTACTCAAACGACGACTTCTCTTCTGTGAAGCTGGACACCGAATATGCAAATTAATTGCAAGTAGTTTATATGAGTCTCAGATGATGCGAGGAAGCCATGCAAAATTTGAACATGAAATATCAATGCGTTTCATAAAACACACACAGCGTCTCCACGAAATGGCGGTGACGGCAACAATACTACAGTGAGAGTAAAAGTTACGCCTTCTTTCTTTGTGTGAACATTTGTGCAGTGTTATGCAAATCTTTCAACACAGTGATGTAGATATGTGGGGGCGTGTTTAAATGAAGCGTTTTAGGAAGCGTGGACGAGTCTTAACTTTTATGAAGAATATCTCTTTGGGTTTGACTTTAGTCTTTGCAATTTTATGGATCTTATCAACTCAAAATACAGAGGAAAACTTGAAATGGCATCATATGACCCCTTTTACAAAAGCCCTCTGACATTATTAACAAAACTGATTTAATATTGCAAAGAGGGTTTAAAATTAACACCGCCGACCCACCAGATGCAGGTGAAAAGTCAACCGTGGCAGGTTACACATATCAAATCATTAGCCAATTTGGCAGGTTATGAGTCATAAATGATGTCCTCCAACCAGGAACCTCCAACATTAGCAAAACAAAAATGTCTTTAAAAGATCAAACACATTGCTTATTTGTATGCGTGCACATACACAAGCTAAAAGCTCCACTCATCTTCAGTCCATTAACTATTTTAACTTAATATCCATATATGGAAAAATGCTACCATTATTATAATTGTTTGTTGTTATTATTAATCACAGAAAATTTTGTTTTTATTTCTATTTCATTTTATCTTTACGGCATCCGCAAACAAGTCATAAAACGGACATTCAATGCTTCAGAATCACATAATTAATAATAAATCAATTTAAATGTAAGATGTGATTTTGATCATCTGGATTATTTCTGAAATTCTGAAAGGTTGGCAACTTAAACATTTTAGTCAAAGTGGCTGGTGAGTGAAAAACGTAATTTCAAACTGTGGTAATGTAAACAAGGGACTAAAATAAATATTAAAGGTCATATTGTTCACTGACCGTGTGATAGCGGAGTAACAGGATGCCACCGGTAATATCCGGTTGACCAGCTCTTTGATGGACATGTCGAGGGAAGGATCCACTATGAAGGAGCGGCTCTGTCTGCCGAGCACAGGCTGAGCTGTGACGTCTCTTCCATCCACACCAATTAGCACGTACAGCAGGTCCTCCAGAGCTTGTTCCTGTGCAGCCAGCGGAATTGTACCTGTAAATACACATGTTAAAGTCCCCATGAAATCAAAACTGACCATTCTTATTTTTTATGTAATTTTACAGTGTTTATTATAAATTATTTGTCCATGCAAATCTACTTAATGCACATGATACATAAAGCATTGGTGTTTCTTCATCACCTCTCATCAAATTACTAATAACTTACTTCACCACTGTAACGATTCCCTACTCATCAAAGGCTCTGATTTTGGAAAGCCATGTCACATACCAACAGCCACCACGGGATCTCCCACAGGAGTGGGGCTAGTGATGAAATTCCCAATCAGCGCAGGCCGGTCATACACCCAGTTTGGAAACACAGGGTTCGGCTGAGTGGGGTTCTTCTTGTTATGTCGGTCTCTCAGCATTTTACAGATGACCTCAGAAGACTGTAAGGGAAAACAAAATCATTGTAAACTCGTGCAATATCCAGAAATCAGGATCGGCGGATTCGGAGTCATGTTTATTAATGAATGCAAAAAATAACAGTGTACACTGTGTTCCAAATTATTTTGCAAGTGACATTTTAGTGGGTTTCAGTAAAATAAACATTCAGATACCAGATTCCCCCCCCCCCCCCCCCAAAAAGAATATGTTTGCTTGTTTTTTTTTCTCATATCTATTTAGATATTTATTATAAATCTCAGACGGGTTTGTTAAATATTCTGCCAGGTCTTCTTAGGTAAATGAAAACCCTACTTAGAGAGGTTGTTCCACATTATTAGGTAAGTCACAGTTCTCATGCAATATGGGGAGGAAGAAAGATCTTTCTGAAGATGAAAAGTCTTGCGAAAGGCACTGAAGTATCTAAGGATACTTTGTAGCATCCTGTGTGTGTTGCTTCAAGAAAGCAACCATACATTTGTGTTGTGCTGTTTTTCTTTCTTTTCTATTCATTTATTATTAATTCATTTATAATCATTTAATTATTTTATTATTCAATTTAATCATATAATTATTCAAACCATTTATTTACTCATTTTATTGATTCATTTATTGATTATCTGGCATGAAGGCATGCTCTAAAAGCATTGAAAAAAGAAAAATATTATTCTCATTTGATGATTGTAATATTCTGAAAAAATATAATTTTATAAGATTTCAAAAAGAAAAAATGCTTGTTTTTGGTTTTGCATTTCAATTACTAAATTAAACAGAGGACTAACAGCGGCATCACTTTTAGTCATCACATAAGCACACCACATTGGGACAAACAGTGCTGTGCATAAAGGGAAGTAAATATTGTAATAGCATACCACTCACAACAATGGTGTTCCCTACATTTAAGATCCATTTTAAACAGTTGCTTAAGGCAAAACAGACCTGTGTAGCGTCTCGACCAATCTGACACACTAATTTTAATTTGATTTAACAAATCAATTATTCATTAGGTTAACAAATCGTCACAGTCCCCTCACTCAATATACTGGATGCCAGGATATCTGCTGAACACCAGGCCCTCTGGTCACCATGACAACTAATCATGATATCACTGGTTTTATGACCCCCCAGGAATGTGAGAAGGATAGCCCACTCTTGTCCCAAGGAAAAGCAGAGTAGAAATGGACTGTGTTCTAGTTAATTCATAGAAAAAACGTTATTTGAATGAACACACATATTTCTTCAGGCCATTGAGTATATTATTGTCATTGTGTATTTTGTCTTTGATATTCTTAGACTATTTTAGTATGCTTGTCACTTTTGTGCATGATGCTTTATCCCTTTGCATATGGTGTATTTGTAATTGGTATACTGTCACAAGTTGTCTTTGTTTGTACTAAATGCCTAGGGACTATGGATGTAAATTAGCAATGTTGCTATAAATATTTAAATGTTGTATTTCATACTGATGTTCATCGATGTGTATTGTCCCTATTAAATCAACAAAAAAAAACAGATTAATATCACTTCGTTTCCTCATACTACCTGAGGCGCATTGGAGCTGGCCGTGACATTTCCCAGCTTTTTCCGCAATTCCTCCAGTTCTTGCATGGACATTTTGCCACTGGTTGCAGGAATGCTGTACGACGTGGCGGTGCTGGATGCTGCATTTGCAGACATTTCAGTTCTCTCCTTTGCATTCTGCTGCAAGAACGTCAAAGTCTGAAGAATACAAGAAAAAAATGAAGACACTGACAAATGTATGAGTTTAGGGGGAAATTGTGTGAACATCTTGTGTGGAAATGAATAATGAGTTTCATTAAACCTACTTCTTTATCCTCAGTGAGTTTGGAAAGCAGATACACCAGTGGATCGAGGTTGCGTGCATTCTTTGACTTCAACTCGTCATATTTCCTCAAGAAGTCTTTAGGAGTTTTGGAGTGTTCTGCCATTTTGACCTGCAAGACATGGTAAATTAGTCTCCTGCATTCACAATACATGCACATGTACAGTATTATGTGAAGCATCCGTATAGTCTGTATTTTTTAAATTTATGTATAGGTAAACAGTTATATATAGTATATTCATAGCCAAAATCTGTCAGTAGGTTAGTTGTGTATAGGTAGTGTTTATGTGAAGCATTCGTATAGTTTGTATTTTTTTTATTTATGTATAGGTAAACATTTATATATATATATATAGTATATTTATAGTCAAAATCAGTCAGTAGGCTAGTTGTGTATAGCAGGGGTGCCCAAACTTGGTCCTGGAGGGCCGGTGTCCTGCAGAGTTTAGCTCCAACTTGCCTCAACACACCTGCTACAAAGTTTCTAGTATGTCTAGTAAGAGCTTGATTAGTTGGTTCAGGTGTCAGCTTGGGCACCCCTGGTGTATAGGTTTTACTGTTTTACTTCATTGTTGTATGCCTGTATTTATGTAGCACCGTGGTCCTGTGAGGCACAACATTTAGTTCCACTGTATGTCCCCACATGTAGCAGAATGACAATAAAGCTCAACTTGACTTGAAAAAAATGTAACAGAAGATAATTCATGTTCACCTTAGCACTGTGTGCAGATACTGTAGTGGTCACATAAGGAGTCCTGTTCTCCTGCAGTAAATCAATATAAACCTCAGCACCATCTCCTCCTCGGACATTAAGAAGCCCGAGAAGTTCATTAACATCATGATGAATCCTGAATTCACTCATGACTTCAGATGAAATCAGAAGCGCCACCATTGAGAAACGAGAGCAAGCTCCTTGAATGAATAAATACATCAGCAAACGACACTAGATCTAGATCACTGAATTTACTGACAAAACCATGAATATTTAGTACGCCCTAGTGAAAATTAATCAGCGGGGATTTGTTATTACTTACTGTATGTACAGCTAGCCATCGGCCCATTTGCGTTGACACATGTTGCATGATAAAATGAAACGTCTTGTTTACCTATAATTATTATAGAATATGTTATTTTACCTAGTATGAGTCTAATTAATCCGTCTGAATAACACCTACAGCATGTATTGATAAAATGCAAAGGAAACTGACAACATTCCAATAATAGGAAGTCAGAAACTGTCTTTTGTAGAGATAGAATTTGTAAATGTTTAGGATTTGCTTTGTCGTTCATCAATCATATACTAACATAACCTAGTAAATATTTGTGAAATGTTTTGATTTAGATTTATTTAATAACAATACTACTACTACTTACTACTACTAATAATAATAATCAAAGTAAAATAATAATAATAATTATAAAATAGTTAGATTGTCACTCACACTTCCAGGGGCCAGTTGCAAAGACGAAGCATCTAAGACTGTGTCTTAACAACTAGTCTAACCAATTAGCACTTACTGACAGGCAATGAGTCATATCGTTTAGATTTAAATGACACCAATCTGTGTTTTAACACAGCCGACATTATGACCACTCTTCAAGGGGGAAAAAATTAGATGACTAACTTGAAAGACTAAAATTTTTATGCAACCGGCCACAGTATTCAGATATAGAATTACACATTAACTTATTTACAGAATAATACAAAAAAAATGTATAATATGAAAACAACTAGTATGTGGTTGTTAAAAATATAGCATTTCCACAATATATTGACATTAGGGGTGTTGCTCACCCTATTGCAGTTTTGTTATGCGAGGTTTTGCTACAAATTAATTAATTAAATAAAAGAAACCAAAATACAGCTAAACAAGACATTCTAAACATCCTATAGTGTTCAATTTGAACTTCCAATTTTTACCTCAATTGGCTCAGAGCCTCAAGACCGTCAGTTCCATCAATCACAGTATTGATTCTGGAGACAGTCACACATCTGGACAATTTGAGTTTGCTGTGAATAGAGCCCTGTGGTGATTATCAGGAGATGTGGGTGAAGATGGCACACATCTTCTAGGCATCTTGTCTATTGTCTCTATTAAATGAAAAATGTATACCCATCAAAAACAGATCAAGACGATTTAGTCTCTCTGGCCTTCCAAACAACCCCAGTCAGCTCTCAGTTTGCGCTCAGGTGTTATTCTAGACAACGCAGATGTTTCAAGCCGGAAGATTACTCATCATGTCAGTGATTCTCCTCTAACTCCCAACATTTGCAGTAGCTCAGCACAGCACAGCACAGCTTGCCAGGATGATAAACACAAGAAATTACTTGCCACTAAAGGTATTACCTTGTGAAAAAACCAAGTGCCATCTCACCAATCTAATCCAAATACCTTGTGGCGCTTAACCTTTAAAGAATAACATGTGAAGAAGCAGGTGGTGAATGAAAAATAGCGAGGGTGGCGTTCTCAAGCCACAAATAATCTTGAAACTGTCAGTGGATGGTGGAAGAACTAAAGTGCTGCTGTTGGTTTATGGTTTGAGGTCATGGGGAATGAGACCATCTGCAGAGATGAAACCTATGGAAGCCCGTTTCCGCCACTGAATAAAAAATAAAAGGAGGTAATTGCGACTTTATATCTCGCAATTCTGACTTTTTAACTTGCAATTGTGAGTTTATATCACGCAATTCTGAGAAAAAGTCAGAATTCTGACTTTATAGCTCGCAATTCTGACTTTATAACTCGCAACTGCCAGTTTATATCTCACAATTCTGTGGAAAAAAGTCAGAATTGTGAGATAAAAAGTCGCAATTACCTTTTTTTTTTTTTTCAGTGGCGGAAACGGGCTTCCCTAGAAACCTGGGGCAAGTTCCAACTCAAGAGACAGCGCACACAACGTAATATCCAAATAAATTCACAAGAGCAAGACTATTGTCTACACATGTTTATGTACATCAAAGGCAAAATAACTGAAATAATAAGAGCACAAGTATAGATCTGGAACTTCTTTTAAGTCTGTCTAAATATCATTTAGTAATTGCAATGTCTTCTGGTCCATATCCTTTGCTTAGGAAGGTGTGCTATACATATTTATTTTGCTATTGTATTATGGAGTGACACTTTTCTATACTGCTCTGATTATATAATGGTAAATATTACAATATCATAGCACAACAACAGTGATCAGCAATAATGATAAGCCTAATACACACAATAAAAATAACAAGGTCATATAGATCATATAACACAGCCTCGGAGGTAAGAAGTGGATTATCCTTCACCTGAAATGCGAGGCAAATGTTGGATCACAATAATTCAATAATTAGGTTTCCACAAATCCCTTCATTTGATTGGGATGTTCTCTTTTATTCTGGAGGGCAAGGGGAGTGACTGTACGACTGTACCTATTTTGCAGTATTAAACACGTATTTATACCGATTTCATCAGTCTCCGAAAATTCTTCAAAAAGAACACAAAGAATGGCCTTCTCAGCTGCCATAGTTGCAACTCTTGCGTCATCAGAACAGGGTGTTCAACACACCACCGTTTCCATTTAAAAAACGCTTTGGACCGTTTTGTCGGGGCTGAACACAGCCATGGCTACAGCAGAATTACAAAATAAAAGACATGAACACAAAACAAAACCCAACGTGACAATATAAGAGAAGTCTTGTTGTATGTGTACATGTGTGAGCACAATGTGTGTGTAAAGACACTGATGGGAATGTCGCAAATGTATCTTGGCTCCATGCTAAGCAAGGCTGTTCAGTGTACTATCAGAAAACATTACGATAACACACCTGCCAGATGCAGTGTTTTGCACAGTGATCAAGGTACATGTATGACATTTCCACAGATTTCGGGGCTCATTTATCTCCAAGGCTGTAGATAAAACAGTTCTGCTGAATCAAGCTCATCCCTCACGATAAATGCTACATTCCTTGTTCTTATACTTATCTGTTTTATCTACTCTTTTTTTCTCCTTTTCCTCCAGTCTTTCACACTTACTTTTTGCCCTGCTTCTCTTGCTTTTCTGTTCTTTCCAAATATCTCACAACCCAGTCTCTATGAACTCATCTCACAAATATGTATTAAGTATGTTTAACGATTTTCTTCAGCAAGACTTTTGCCTTTGGAAACAAATGTGGTGAAGACGGTCTTAGATAAGATAAGATAAGATAAGATAAGATAAGATAAGATAAGATAAGATAAGATAAGATAAGATAAGATAAGATAAGATAAGATAAGATAAGATAAGATAAGATAAGATAAGATAAGATAAGATAAGATAAGATAAGATAAGATAAGAT